ATCTAAAATAAAAGTTGAAATCTTAAAAAAAAAAGTTGGCTGCTATGATGATTATCAATAGAAGAGAAAATTCATGAAGACACTTTGTAAAAAATGATGCAAGTATCGGGGATGATTACTATTAAGAAGGCATCTGATTCATGGAAATGAAATAAATTCATAAGTACCTCAGTATCTCAAGTGCACACTCAGAAATTCATAGCTTCAAAACACCAACTCGGGTCTAATTGTGTGGTCACATTAATTAGGAATTTTCAGCTTTGTAAACTTGATTATCAGCACTAAGATGGCCACTGGGACAGTTCAGTGCAATAAAGATGAATGAATTGGGCATTTTACTGAAGTTCTGCTGTGGTAAAGTTCTTTAATAACACAGAGACCATATTATTCTGCTTTCTTACTTGGATATAAAAGAAATTTAGTTAAGTGAGAGGGTGATAAGCAATTAGGAAGCAATGTATATGTATAACGGTGATCTCGTAAATAGAATATTGGACCTAGAAGAAATTATCTGAAAGATGCAGGCATATTCAGGCTGTATGGCTTACTAATTTTGTGACTCTGGGAAATGTCTGAACTGAGTGTGCTTTATCTGTAAAATGGAAATAAAGATACTAACTTTTGGGAATATGCTTATGAGTTTTGGGGATAATGTAGGTTAGACACCTGACACTTGGCACATTATAGATGCTCAATAGTTATAAGTTTTCTATCATTAATGCAGACTAGATGACAGTTTCTAAGCAGGCATACTTAAACGGTAAAATCACAGCACACTAGGGAGAGATTTTACATTGTTTTAGAGTAGGGGTCAGCAAAGTATGACACATGAGCCAAATCTGGCTTTCTGTTTGTTTTTGTGAATCAAGTTTTACTGGAACACTGCCACACTCATTCATTTTTGCATTGTCTACGGCTGTTTTCATGCTTCAAAGGCAGAGTTGAGTAATGGGGACAGAGATCACGTGTCCTGCGAAACCTAAAATATTTACCACGTAGTCCTTTATTAAAAGTTGGCTAATCTCTACTTTAGAGACAGATGTGTTTACTTATGTTGCATCCCATCAAACTAGCATCATGGGAACACTAAAAATGCAGTCTATAATTACTACTATTACATATGTGGAGACCACAAGGTGAGATTTAGTTCCTATGAACCAATATGAATACTTTCTCAAGAATGGGAAGAGAAAGAATCTTTTGTCAGCTTGAATGCTGCAAAGTGATTATTACATTTCTGCCTCTACTTACTTGTTAGATTAACTGCCAACTAGTTGCTAATGTAACAAATGTGTTTTAGAAGTTAGAAAGTCCCTTTCTTTTCTTTTCTTTTCTTTTATTCAATTTTTTTTATTGCATTTTAGGTTTTGGGGTACATGTGAAGAACAAGCAAGATTGTTGCATAGGTACGCACATGGCAGTGTGATGTGCTGCCTTCCTCCCCATCACCTATATCTGGCATTTCTCCCCATGCTATCTCTCCCCAACTCCCCACCCCCCCTCTTTCTTTACTAAGTGAATTGCATTAATATTAGATAAATAAGTTACTTCTCACAAACCTAAGCTATTTTATGTGCTCTCATTGAAGTGTGGGGAGATAATTGCTAGTCTGCTGAAAGACAAATTAAAAATGACTATTGCTGTCAAAAAGAATGGTGCATTTCTCTGTCGCTATGGTTCACAAAAGTACTTAATGGTTTCCCATATACTCTGTAACAGGGGTTCTCAAACTTTTGTTCTTAAGACTCCTTTACATTCTTAAAAATTACTGGGGCTCCCAAAGAGCTTTTGTTTATGAAGGTTATATGTATTAACATTTATCATATTATAAAACTGTTAAATTGTTACAATATTTGTTATACTATTTTAAAAATAATAAACCTACTACTTCCTAACAAAAATAGTATTTTAATGGAAATATTTATCATAATTATATTTTCCAAACTTAAAAAATAGTGAGAAGAATGGCATTAGTTTACATTTTTGCAAACCAATTTAATGATTAGCTTAATAGAATGCAGCAGAATCCTCATATTTGTGCTGTATTCAATCTATTGGAATATGAGGCAACACATAGCCTCTGGAAAACTCCACTGTACATGCATAGGAGAATGAGGGTGAATAACGAAAATTATGTCTTAGCATTATTATGAAAATGGTATTGATCTCATGGATTCCCTGCAAAGGTACTGGGACCATGCATCATACCTGGAGGACTGCTGCCTGACCTTCCCTCTTACCTCCCTTCTTCCTGGCTTCCTACTTCCCTGAAATACATGAAAGCATTTCCAAGTCCTCCATATTCTGAGACCAAACCACCTTCTATTCGTTAACTCTCTGCTCCAAAAGACTCAGATTTTGTCAGGCAATTTGACTGAGTCCCTCTCCTGCACTGATTTCTTTTATGAGTGTGTGCCTGTGTGGCTTTTGGTAAGTCATTTTACATCTCTGAAACACAAAACTTGCATCTATAAAATAAAGCAGTTGGATTACACAGTGGCTTTTTACCTGAAGTGTGTAGACTCCTGGGGGCTACCAGAGTTACTGACAAGGGACTGCAGATCCAGATGTCCTACAATCATTGTCTGAAGTCGATAGAGCATTTTTTTCCTACATATTCATACTCTAATTTTTAAATGTATGTAGAAACTAGTTACTTTCGTGATACTCATTAACACAATCAAAATTAGGAGGATTATTTTATAGTGACTTTTAGTCATACAATAAGTTTAACTAGATACAGTAAGTTTTAACAGCTAACATGAAGGTAGCCATAGTAAAATTTTTTAATGCTAAAAGCTAGAAAAGAGTCCTCCTTGAGAGCATCTGGGAACTATTTTTCCAGCTGTGACATGAAATAATTGTACTATTTTATTCTATTTCTATCACAAAAATATTGTGGCAGATTGCATTTTGTAAACTTGACCACCACAAGTTCATAGTCCATATGCTTTTTCTGCAGTATGATTTTGCCACTGCCCCAGCATGGTGTGGAGTCCTAGAATCTGGGCTGGCCTTATGACTCTCTTGTAACCAAAAGAATACAGCAGAAGTGATGACAATGACTTCCAAGTCCAAGAAGGGTGAGAAAAGGCCATGGAGCGTCTCCCTTATTCTCTTGAGATGCTCTTTCTGGGGGAAGCCAGATACCCTAAAGGAAGTGTGACTACCCCAGGACCACCATGTAGGCATTCTGGTGGACTGTTCACAGCCAGCTAAGCACAGCCATTCAGCCATCTCATGCACCAGGCATGTGAGTAGAGCTAGTGTGGACCATCCAGAGAAGCTCATCTACCAGCTGAATACCACTGAGTGACTTGCATCAGCATCATAGACAGCAGAACTGCTCAATTGAACCTGATTGAATTTCTGGCCCTCAAAATCATTCACTATAACAGAACAGCTCTTCATTTAAGTTGCCAGGTTTGAGATGGTTTACCATTCAGCAATAAAAAACCAGAGTGGTAGTATTGTGTCTTTGGGTAAATCATTATAACTTGCTGAGCCCTTGTTTCCTGAAGAGGTTGTGTGAAATGATCTTTATGGTATCATCTAACTCCTCAATTCTACAACTTTGCCCTCTTTCCATCTGAGACCATTTACCTCCCAGTCCAAACTGGAGCAAATGTCTCTGATTTGTTCTCTGAATTACTAAGGATCTGGACATATAGCCACATTTGAAGGAACTGGGGTCTCCAGGACTGGGGCAGTGAGGCTCAGCAATAACCAGGGCCCTGGACAATCAGTACAGTCAATAGTGGGAATATCCATTTAGAACCATTTTAAATGCTTCAGGGGGCTCTTTCAGTTCTCTGAGCAAGTGTTCATTTGACCAAAGGGAAACTGCTCAAACAGTTCAAAGCCAACTGGTCCAAGAAACCTCCAAGTCCCCTTTTACTGTAATATAAATCAGTTAGAGGAAAAATTAGAGGTACTTAAGAGCCTACTAAGCATAGATAAACCATTATAAGCCATTAAGCAAGTAGCTTAAAACTGTTATACACTGACCCAATGGCTTATAATAGCACCAGGAAGATACTACAAAGTGTTTTGTGAGTTCTTCTGAAGCTTGGGAAGATGATAAAGGGGAAGGAGTATAACAGTTGTGAAAAGGTGAAGTTAAAAGCTCACTCCCAACTGACATCAATGCACACTGCAGTTCCCAGCACCTAGTTCATGCTAATGTCAAAAACGTAGCAGCTCTTGATGGTTTCACATAATCTACTCAAGATACTTTTAAAATCTAAATATAATTAGTTTGTAACGATAAAGTATTTCTTGATGTCCCCAGGTAGAATAAGTTGGCCTTACCAGGACACACTATTATATATCACTTATCACATTCTATTATGGTTATAGTATTACTATATCATTGATTTTTAGATGTATGTTTCACTTCAATGATGAATTCCAGGTTGCAGATATGGGAGTGGAATGTCTATTTTTGATATGTCTTTTTTCCAGAACCTCATGCATAACAAGCGCCCAACAAAGGTTTGGAAAATGAATGATGAATGAGTGAACAAATGAACAAATATAAGAGTGAACCAATGAATACATAAATGGGCTGAGTATTAATACCCAATAAATAGGAGTTGTACAATGAATAAATGTGATACTGCATAAAAAGGTCTTAACCCTGTACTTAGCAAACATACGTGCTTAATAAATGTCATTTTTCTTCCCTTTCACATCTTCTCCTCTCCCTTAGAATGTCTCTAGAAATAGAGTTAAATAATGTTTACCTGTGCACATCTGACCTGTGGCATTGGGAAACAGTTTTGGTGTAATAAAATTGTCCCGTTTTAATTATAGTCTCTTCCCCTTCTCAACAATCGTTTCTTAGTTTGGGGGAAACCTTACTTCGTAGACCTCTCTGAATTTTTGGATCTGTTTGATAATGTGGGTGAAAAGGAAAAAATAGCTGCAGGGGGAAATCGGATTAAACCGTGTGCTAGCTTTATTACTTCCTTCAATAAGGTTAATGCCGAACACTTTACCTTGTCATCCAATTTTCGTGCATTGAATGCAAGCTCAACGTAGTCGTCATTGCCAGATAATTCTTCAGCAATCACCTAAAGAAAAAAGCACACATCAGCTGCAGTAGAGGGTGGATTCCTCAGCTCCAAAACCCATGAGCAAATTTAGCTCCTGTTTGGTTCAAAACTCAACAGAGACAAATGTTGGGCAAGGAGTTTTTTCACAACCCTAGTGACTATAGCACAGCAATTCTAGATATTCAAGGGAACTCCCTGGAATAGACAATGGTGAATAACTAGACACCATTTATGCTGAGCATGAGAACATAAGAGATGGGACCCAAGCTGGAGGAAAAAAATAGAAGAGCAGTTTGGAAGAGCTTCTTTCTTTAAAGGTCACATGATATTGGATAGTATTTCTATAATTAACTACAATTTTTCCCCTTTGGTAAATTATAGAGAAGGAAGAACAATAATATTTCTTTACTGTTTTGAGTGAGATCAACAAGAAATGGTGGAATAAACTAGCTTCTATGTCAAACTTTTCTAATTCCTATTTTTCAAAAGACTGTCCCTGGGTTTTCTGAGATGAGGGTGTGTGTATATGTAAGGATCTAAGCCCTAATACCCAAGAACAGATCATTCCCGACAAAGATTTTGGTATAAGAAATCATGGACCAAAAGGCTTTCTCATAACGGGTAAATTTCCAATACTTAATAGTTAGTGACTCTCAACAAAGCCTTGGAGCGGAAATTGGTGGAGAAAGGAGAAAAATAATGACAACAAAAACAAAAATCTAGGGGCCAGTCAAGTTGCATGTAAGTTAAAACCTTTATAAATTATGTTAGGATTTACTATGTATTCTCTGGACTTCCTTATCCTTTATCCTGATAAGCACATGGATATGTTTATCAAATTGCTTATGTCAAGATACTGAGATTTAATTCAATTTTGCCTCTTTTCTATCTGAGCTCAACAATTCCATTACGAGTTGGGTCCATATGCTCTCAATAGTCACTGGTAGTATTCCAAATATTTTGGAAAATTTAAGTTATTTTCATCGAATCTTAAAGCTAAGATGGCTGCCTTAGGAAAGATAGACCCAAAAATGTATGGGCAACTGAGAGGAGAGAACGTGAGTCCAGGTATACAGGAAAGACTCCAGAAGTGCTTGATAACCCAAGAACTATCATATTTGTATTTTTCATTTGGTCCTCTTTCATCCCTTACCACCTTAAGGCCTCTTATACTTCATTTGAGTGCTGACCCTTAGCTATTTTGCAGTCACAGACACCTTTGGAAAAAGAGGAAAGTTCTGATTTTCTCCATCTGCAGAGACCTAGAAAATTTCACGTACTTTTTCAAGTGTTTTCTAGAAGTTATTAAAGCCAATGTTTTGATCTAAAGACCCAAAATTAAGAGAGCATTTAAATATTTAAAATTAAGAAAAAGATCATACTTTTCTGGGATGTGTAGAGGAAGAAAATCTCAGAATATCTCAGAGAAAATATGGCAAGATGAAATTTTGTTCTTTTGGGAAAGAACCATAGCAAACTTATACCTGGATCTACTGGGTTTGTGGGCTCTGGGAGTGAACCCATGGGTCCATGGCTTTTTAGGGCACCATTAGGGTCTTCAAAGACCACTTGAATTATGGCTGAAGATGTAAAAGCTTTAACATGGCAGTGTCATTTAAAATATTCAAGCAATAAACTCAGGTAAGTTATTGTGAGAATGGCCACAACTTTCACTGAGAACCCTTTTGAATTTTTTCCTGTGCATAAAAAAAAAAAGTTCAGGGCTGGGTGTGGTGGCTCACACCTGTAATCCCAGCACTTTGGGAGGCCAAGGTGGGTAGATCATGAGGTCAGGAGTTTGAGACCAGCCTGGCCAACATGGTGAAACCCTGTTTCTACTAAAAATACAAAATTAGCTGGGTATGGTTGTGGGCATCTGCAATCCCAGTTACTCTGGAGGCTGAGGCAGGAGAATCGTTTGAACCTGGGAGGTGGAGGTTATAGAGAGCCAAAATCACACCACTGCACTCCAGCCTGGATGACAGGATGAGACTCGGTCCCCCCCCCAAAAAAAAAAAAAAAAAAAAAAAAAAAAAATTAGTTTCTCTCTAGTTAAAAAGGAATGTTCAAAAGAACTCAAGAGGTTTGCTTCCTGGCAATTTACCTCTCTAGCAATTCAGAATTTCCTTGTAGTTTTTTTCTACCTTTTTTTTTTTTTTTGCTTGTATTTTATATATCCAAATGATTGGACCACATTCTCTACCTTTCTCAAGAGGTAGTGAGTGTCTAAGACATCTCTAATAGAAGATGTCAAAGTTCCAAATACCAGGAGTTCTATTTGAAAATTTAAGCTCTTATTTAGAAATATGTCTAGCATTACCCAGTAGAACATTCTGGAATTATAGAAATGTTTTATAATCTGCACTATCCCATATAGTAGCTGCTAGACACTTGTAACTATTGAGTACTTGATATGTGACCAGTGTGATTAAGAAACTGAATATTTACTTTAATTTTAAATAAAATTAAAATTTTATTAAAATATAATTAATCACATGTGGCTAGTGGCTACTGAATTACACAATAAACCTCCAAACTATTATATCAAAGAGGACTTAAATGTTGAGCTCTTTGTTTGTTAGGCAACAAACCAAACCTTAAACTAAATGCTATCAAAGCAAAATTTTTATTCTCAAAATAAATGAGAGAAAAGGACAGGTATTTCTGACGATCTGAAAATGTTAGACAATTTCATATTCTTACTGTGCTTGGCAACTAATCTTTCTCCTGCGCTAAAATCTATCTTGCAATTGCAGAAGTACTTACTAGAATTAAATAACCTTAGATCCAAATACTTTTTCTTTACCATTTTTCCTAGAGGTAGAAGGATCAAAATTGTATTGTCAGGAAAGAGAAAGAAAGAAAAATAAAGGAGTGATTTCAGTAGTTCAGTAGTTATGAGACCAACTCCCAATATCAGAAAATCAGCTTCCCAATTGCCTGGTTGGGCTGGCCAGGCTCTCCACTCAGGCAGGTGGCTGCTCAGGGAGGGCTTGCTTACCGTGATGGAGGATTTTCCTGCTGTGTTCCCATGCTTCAGCAAAGATTTGGACAGCTTTCTCTGGGAAACAATCTGCCAAAAAGGAATCAAAAGGTAGAGATACCAGTCATTTAACTGCAGATCTTTCTTTTTTTTTTTTAACAAAACTCTGCATTCACATTTGTGTCAATTTATATTTCAAAGTTTGTCAATGAGCTTCTTATAATACAGGTTATTCCCTTTTTCTTATGTTGTGTGATATAAGAGAGTGAGTGAACATGTAGTCAATTGGGAGGTGACTTAATTGTTGATGAAGGATTTATATCAAAATTAGACAGATAACTTTGTATATGTATGTTAAGACAAAGCAGATAGTTTCAAAATGATCTCAAACTTAGCATTAAGCCTCCAGACAAAGTGGGGTATGGGATATAGGGAGGGAAAGGAACTAAAGAGCTAAATAGAACCTCCAGACTTCTATTTTTAATATATTCATTAGGAAGCCATAAAGTAAGTCATTAGAAAACTGATGCTCAGACAAGCCAATAGGAGCAATTGGGGTTCTCCTCATGATTCAATGCCAATGCACCTGTGCAATGACAATTAAAATCATCATCATATTGAAAGCTATTCCTAGGAGAACATGCCCCATTCTGTTCTTCTTCTTTCTCCCTTTTTTGAAAAAGAAGTTTGACAAGGGATTGAGGCCATGATTGGTTGGCAACCCATGAGTCTCAAAAAAGAAAAGGGTTAAAAGAACCAAGATAAAGCCACACTCATGCTTAGGGGAACATCATCCATTGTGGCTGGAAGCTTCTATTTAACATGGTCTACAATGGTCCTAGCTTCCTAGTATTCATGCTATTGCGTAATATTCTCCCCTCAAATGTGGGATAGACCCAGTGATTTGCCTCTAGAAAATAGAATAATACAAAAGTGATGGGCTATCACTTCTGAGATTAGGTTACAAAAAGACTGTGACTTCTTATCTTTTATCACTATCTTAAGTTAGATGTTATCTTCTATCTTACCACTATCTCTCATTCTTTCTGTCTTTCAGAGCCTTTGCTCTGAAGGAAGCTAGCTGACAGCCTGTGAGTAGTCCTATAGACAGACCCATGTGGCAAGAAACTGAAGTCTCCGGCTAACAGCCAGGAGCATAAGTCTGGAAGAAGATTTTCCTCTAAGTTGAGCCTTGAGATAACTGCATCTGGATTGCAACTTCATGAGAGGCCCTAAACCAGAGGATGCAGAAAAGCTGTACCCTGATTCCCATTTTACAGTAACTGAGATAATAAATGTTCGGTTTTTTTAAGCTCTCAAGTTTTTGAGTAATTTTTTATTAGCAGAGAGCAACAATGCTGTCCATATATTATTCACAGAAAGACAGGAAAGGAGATCACCATGAGAGGCCAGTAGATAAACTTATTCTTTGAAATCTTCATATATTTTTGTCTCTGTGTTACAGCAATGAAAATACCAAGTCTTTGCTTGTGCCAAATGCAAGAAGTCCAGAGAGCTTCCCTAGGACAAGCAGATTTAAAGATCCTGATGTTCAGTCTGCTATAATCTGAAGAGAAAATATTTCTGTAAAAAATCACCTGGTGATGATGATGATGATGATGATGGTGATCATGATTGTGATGGTGATGACAATGATGACAGCAATGTAGCAATGGAAGCTCCCACTTATGGAGTACATATTATGTTGCAGATGCCCTATTCATTCCACAAATATTTGGCCCCCACTGTATGCTAGACTTGGTGGTAGGCACCAAGAATAGAGTGGTAAGTAAAATCAGACGCAATGTCTAATCTCATGGAGCTTACAGTTACTCTGCAGGGTTTTTTTTTCCCCCCCAGCAAGTGAAGTGGAGAACACACATGAGTAAATAACAAAACAACGGTCATCTTTAACCAGTAGCCAGGTCAACACCTGACTAAGGAAAGGCAACATATCCCATTTCCCAGACAAATCTGGTCTCAGAAATACTACTGTCCACTGTCATTGTGTTTCATCCACATTGGTCACCTACTCTCTTGACGCCAGGAGACCCCAACAACCCTCTCGGCACTACACTAACCCACACATTGCATTAGCAGGTGTGGCAGGCCATTTTTTACAGACAGTGTCCTACAAGATTCACAGTATCTTTATTCAAGGAAGAGTAGAGGAGACTTAGCTAAAGAGAACCTGGATAGCCATAGTTCTTTCTCCTTGCTCTTATCTAGAAATACCAATGTTTCCATTTGCAGGGAATGAAAAAAATGCTACTATATACCAGCTTGTATGTTTTGCAGATGCTAGGAAGATAAGCAATTTCCCAGGAAATATCCCATCTTAGGAAATGGGCATTTGGGTATACAAGTGGCTAACCAAGAATAAAAAAAAAACAACGAACTTGTTTTACAGCCTGCAGATTTCCATCTCAGCACCAAAGAATCAGTAATAATCAGGGTTTTAAATTTTTCATTGTAATAATGATGGACAAGAAATGAGTTGCCACTGATGTTGCCATTCTCAGGACAGTTGGGCAAAAATAGCAGGGAAGCCCAGCTCAAGCAGTGATCTGTAGAGAAAAGCCTTTTTCTTGCCAATCCCACTTGTCATGTATACTCTGTTGCAGCTGTAACAATTGCACCCAGCTCAAAAATGCTTTAGGTCTTGACAGAGGATGAGAAAGTCAGAGTCACAAGGACTTTGACCCTGGCTTCAGCTGACATTTGAGGCCAACAAACAGCAAGGTCTGCCTGACATCAAGGTTAAAAGGAGCGCATTTGTCAGAAGTTCCTTAATTTGATTATTTACATCCTATGATGGGGTCACAGCTGCAAACCTTAGTATTCAATAAAAGGATGAAGTGTAGAGGCAGGAAATAGAAGTTGAAACACTCTGTTTAGCAAGGTTGGACCAGAGAGACCTTAGTACCATTAGGTCTCTTATCTACATCCACACATAGATCTGGGGAGAAGTGCTTCTTCTCTAGTAAAGTGGACAATGGCTTCTAACAGCATGGGTCTTCAATTTTAGAAAAATGCACTGTTTCATTAAGTGAATGGGAACAAAGCCACGAGAATAAAAAGCTGGTCAGTTTTTCAACAAGTGTCTATTCAGCTGAACTTTATTCCAAAGTCTTTCAAAACAATCATTTTGGGAACTAGTCATTTTTCATGAGGCTGCTTTTATTGAAAATATCTTCAGAATTATTTTTTGATATTCTTTAAAACAGTTGCAATAACAAATATTTATTGAATACTTTCTATGAACCAGTTACTGTCCATAGGCTACAATGGTGAATAGAAACAGGTTAAAAACATCTTACAATATAGTGAAATCTCTTCTAGCCTTAATTCGATAGCCCCAGAACATGCATTATAGAACTTTTATTCCTTAAAAGGTAAATACATATTACATGAAAAAGTGTTTGTGTAAATAAGTTTGGAAATTATAGGATTATACAAAGTTTAACATTTCAACTTCAGGGCATCAACAGAGCATTAGTTGTGAATCCCATGAAACAAGCATTCATTACACTTGTTTGGCCCTAGAATTCTTTGGTACAAGTGTGTCTCTAGTGTTTTGCAAACTACCAGCACAATAACTAGAACCAACCAGTACAAAGAACTAAGGTTTCCTGGTGTCTCACTGTAACAGACAAGAAAAACCTTCCCAGAACTACTCAGGTCTCCCTCTTGAAGAGCTGGTAGGGCTTCCAACAGCCAAGTCAGACATCTCTTTGCCCAAAGGTTTCCTCTAGTATCCACGGTTGCCATCCACAAGCACAGAAAGATGGAAGTGGGGAGGTAGGCATCCCTTGGGAGCAGATCTCAACCAATGACTGATGGCCTTTGGTACATAAATATCGACTCCTTTGCCTCAGTAGTGAGGGCTGACTCTGGGTGTTTGTTCGACATGGGTGCCTGACTTTTCCCAGTGAAATGAAGCTCCAGTTTCTCCCAGTGGTGATTTGTTAACTAATGTACCCTTTATTTTATTGGTTGTTTTATCTTTGCTCTCTCAATTCTCTGTTTCTCTCCTGCTGTTTCCTTTACCTCACAAATAATCTACTTACCCTCCAATGCTTGACTGTGTCTGGAGGAACACAACCAAGACACTTATTCTACGACAGACAATATGTGGAACACTAAATACAGTTATCTCATTTCTTGTCATTCAATGATCAAATTCTTTCTTTTCTCTAAGCAATTGAGATGAAAGAACCAAGTCTTAGAGAAAAGGAGTTCATCTAAGGTCACTTAGTGTTATGGATGAAATTGTGTACCCAATATTAAAGCTGTAACCCCCAGTGTCACTGTATTTGGAGATAAAGCCTTTAAGGAGATAATTAAGATCAAATGAGGTCATAACAGTAGGGCTCCAATCTGATAGGACTGGTGTCCTTCTAAGAAGAGACACCTGATCCTGCACATACACTCACTCACACACATTCTCTCTCTCCCTCCCTCCCCTCCTCCCTTTCCTCCCACTTTTCCCTTCTTCTTCTACTCTTCCTCTTCACTCCCTCTTCTCTCCCTTCAATTGGAAACTTTTATTCATTTTTCAAGATCTACATTAGAAGTTTGGAATCATTGCTGTGGTAGGAGGAAAGTGAAATCACTTGCGGGATCAAGAAGGACTTTATCCTTGTTACTCACATTGTGAACCACTCCCCCATCTCATCCCCTCCAACAGCAGCAGCAAGGCTGGAGAGCTTGTTAGAAATGCAGAATCTCAGTCCAACCCCAGACCCACTGAATCCAAATCTGCATTTTAAGGAGACCCTCAGGTGCTCTGCAGGCACATTAAACTTGAGGAGCACTGAGCTAGAAAGGGAGAATTGCATGAGAAAAACAGTTTAAATATAATATGCTCAGATTCTTCAAATTTATCTTTGGAAGAGGTTTTAAATTAATCTGTTTTGCTGATTTGGACTTTTATTCATGGGTAAAAGTTGTAGAAACTGAGGAAGGCACAGTGCTGATGCTTCCTTGGCCACTCTGGGGAAAGGAAGGGTGATGTGCACGTGTGTTTCTACATTTTATGCAAATTCAGTGCAATCTTCAGCTCCCCAGTGGAGACCTACAAAAGGACC